TCGTCAAATCACCATCGGCATAAATGCTCTTGTATGCTTTTTACATGCTTGTCGGCATCAGAATGAATCAAAGTCGAGGAAATACATTGCCAAAATTTTATGGTTGCTCACGTATGATGACGACAAGTGCTCGCTCATGGAAACTGTAGATAAGTATGCCGTAGGTGTACCAGCCATTCAGTGGTTGCCCTGGGTACCACAATTGTTGATGTACTTGGTGCGCAACGAAGGAACTGTAATTCTTAATTTACTAAGTCAAGTTGGTAGAATGTTCCCACAGGCAGTGTATTGCTCCGCTCGTACTCTTTATTTAACATTGAAAATTGAACAAAGGGAGAGGTACAAAAGCGGTGAATTAACTGCTGATAAGAATCAAGATGGTGTCGAAAATCGAAGCTCCACGACGGGCAACGTACCACCACAACAGGGAACATCGGAAACGAGTCATACGGTTCGTGCCACGGCGCCTATGTGGAGGTGCTCAAAAATCATGCATATGCAGAGAGAGATCCATCCAACTGTTTTATCTAGTTTGGAAGGCATAGTCGATCAGGTTTGAATCTTCTATTCATTCAATATTATAATAAGACATAGTAAAAAATACGGCAAATATAATGGATATATATATATATACACAAATATGTCATTATATGTATATATAAAGAAAATAGTTAAAAAATATATTGATAAAGATCTATTATTAGATATTATACAATATTATACATATATATGTGAACTTTCTCTTGTTTTGATGTCGAAAACTTGCTTTCGAAGTTTACACTATATTTAATATTTCAATCTTTTGTATAAAAAATAACATTATAATTTATATATGTCAGATGGTGTGGATCCGCGAAACATGGTATGAAGAAGTTTTGAAGCAATTAAGACAAGGACTCACAAAATGTTATGCAATAGCATTCGAGAACCGTAGAGCAGTTAGTGAAGCTACAATAACTCCCCATACATTGAATTTTATAAAAAAACTTGTATCCACATTTGGTATTGGCATTGGTAAATCCATTCATTTTCTGTATTAGTTACAAAACGAAAGACAAAGAGGAGACAATTTCTCTTTAATATGTATTTTGTGACTTGTAGAAAACATATCGTCCTCGCAAAATATGAGTAATTCGTTTAGTTCAGCGGCATCGGAATCTCTTGCACGAAGAGCTCAAGCTACCGTACAGGATCCCGTTTTTCAGAAAATGAAGAGCCAATTCACGAGTGATTTTGACTTCACTGTGCCTGGTGCTAAACTGTTACACAATCTTATTAGCAAGTTGAAGAAATGGATAAAAATTCTCGAAGAGAAAACAAAACAATTGCCCAAGTAATATTTTACTTTTTAATTGTTGTTTAACGATTTTTTTTTTACGATTTGTGAACTACAGATTCGTGCATTGTTTCGCAGGTCTTTCTTAATTGAGGAGAAATGTCGCTTTTTAACCAACTTTAGCTTGAAAACTGCTGAAGTCGAACTACCCGGTGAATTTCTGATACCTAGGGTAAGAAAAACTCTTATTATAAAACTTTTTAATACATATACACAACACACATAGATATAATTACACAATATTTTATTTTATGAGCCATTAAAGTATGAGTGAAGAACGGAAGTACAATTGAAAATAGAGTTTGCTCCATCCTGATAATTTAAAATTAAAAATATTCAATTGCATGGTACTATCCGGCACTTAATATATTTTTGTTCAATAAAAATAATATTCGAGATTGAACAGAAAATGTATCTATTTTGTTAATCTTTTCTAACATTTTTATGTCTTTTAGCACTCGCATTATTCCGTAAAGATAGCGAAATTTGTGCCACGTGTTGAGGTAGTTCAACGACACAATATGGCCGCCAGAAGATTACGTATCCGCGGTCACAACGGTCGTCTCTATCCTTACTTAGTGGTCAATGATGCCGGTCTGGGAGATGCTAGACGTGAGGAGCGCCTATTACAACTGCTGCGCATGTTGAATCACTACTTGACCAAACAGAAGGAAACATCACGGCGTTTCTTGCACTTTACAGTGCCACGACTCGTTGCCGTTTCTCCACAAATGAGACTCGTGGAGGACAATCCGGCAGCAATTTCTCTTTTGGACATTTACAAACAAGGTTGTGCAAAACTGGGAATGGAACATGACGCACCTATTGCCAGATATTACGAGAAATTGGCTGCTGTGCAGGCACGAGGCGCACAAGCTAGTCATCAAGTATTGCGGGATATTTTGAAGGAAGTGCAGACCACAATGGTTTCTAAAACTCTACTTAAAGATTGGGCACTAAAGACATTCCCCGGCGCCACCGATTACTGGACGTTCAGAAAAATGGTAAGTTTTAGAATACTTATTTTCAGAATACTATTTTTGGAAAAATCATAGTTTTGAAATACTAGCTTTTTTACACCATAAATATATATTGTTATAAATTTTTTTTACTAATTCTCCCAATTTTTAACTAACTTTATATTACCTTATTTTTAACTCTATAGATTTATTAACTCTATAGAATATAACAGATTAATATAACAATGTAAAGCTTTTTTAGTTCAAGTGCAAAATTATTCTTTATTCTGTTTATATCCTTTAATACACAATAAAAGAAGAGGAATATCTTTAAATTGTCGGCCAAAGGAAGTTAAGATAGAAACCTGCAAACATTGAAAAATGTCATTGATACAAAACTACAAACAACGCATCTTCATCATAACTTCATCTTTCTATTTTCAGTTTACCCTGCAGCTGTCTTTAACATGTTTTGCTGAATATGTACTTCATCTTACACGACATAATCCCGACATGATGTATGTACATCAGGATTCTGGTTTAATTAATATCGCGTACTTTAAATTCGACATTGATGATACCTCTGGAGAATTAGACGCAAACAGACCGGTACCTTTCCGTCTGACGCCCAATATCTTCGAGTTTATCACAACTATAGGTCAGTCAAGCATAATCTATTTGTTGATGTAATAAAAAATATCTTATTACAAATATCTCTTGTGCTTGAATACATTTTTAAATATCATATAGAAATATTTCTTGTAAATTTACTATTGTGTTACTAAGTTCTTTCAGACTTCACGAAGTTAATCTTTTACAGGAGTTTGCGGACCGTTGACTGCTAGCGCAATTGCCACGGCGCGTTGTTTGGTTCAACCCACGTTCCAGCTGCATGCTATACTTCGCGCGATTTTGCGAGACGAAGTGATTGCAACTCACAAACGGCAAGAAGACGCCGAGGGTACATCGCCTGATCCGACTGATCCGAAGGGCGAGCTCCTGATAACAATGGTGACTCGCGCAGTCACTGCGATTGTTACTAGACTGAACTCTCTGGCAAATTTCGACGGCATCGATAGTAAGGTCAGCACGTTGGTAGCCGCTGCCAATAGTCATGACAATCTCTGCAGAATGGATCCCTCATGGCACCCGTGGCTGTAAAACGCAGTTCAATCTAATTGTTTATGCTATCAACGAATAAGGAGAGGATTAAAATTGTCACATTATTTTCTTGCCCATGTTTATTTTTATTTTATATTGACGCTGGCTTTCCAATTCAAAAAATTATTGGACTATGAAGGAAAACAAAGATAACAATAGAAAAATATTTATAATATGCATATATATATAAATACATCAATATATATATATAAGACGATATATCTATACATCAGTCGAATGTTGTACAGCATAAATCGAAACTACTTGTAAACTGCGAATTTGATGCACTTCATTCTCTATCTCTTATTATGTACATTTATTATATATAAGATTCATTTTCACTATACATAGACTACTTTCCAATGTATAACGCTTCAATATTAACGTAAAGTTCGAGTTTCTAGCGTATCATTGGCTGTGTAAGTTAGACTTTAAGAAACTTGTGCAGATACTTTATAAGAATAATTGTTAAGAAGTGGAATACAGACCTGATACATAAAGTTCTTATTTATTATAAATGATATAAATATTTGGAATGTATGAAAATTGTATGAAATAATAAGATTCTTAAAAAAATTATGTTTTGTTACTTCAAATGTATCTGTAGTTTCTAAAATAAAATATTTTCTATAATCTGTTCTTTGAGAGAAATGGAAGCATATATACATTTGAAGAATGTTTTGTTAAAAAAATCTGTTAGGGACACAATGAAAGAATAGGAACAGAGAATAAGAATTTCAACCTCTGTGTCAGAAACTGTATTCTATAGTGCATCGTTTCTGATTGGTTGAAATTCTCTGTTCCTGTTCCTATTCCTTCATTGGGCGCAGCCTCTTAAGGAACACGTATTTACATATGAAGGCGAAAACTCTTCAATTTATTTAATTTTCCTTCAAATTACATATATATTCAACCAAGTTGGAGTTGATATACAAGAAAAAATACTTTTGGTGATCACAATCCTTATTTATAAAAATATAATCTGTCCAATTTATTAGATCGCGCGCGTTTAGAAAATTTTATATTTAAAATACTGTATATAAATTATGAACTTATATATTATTTTCAAACGTTTTAAAATATAGATATATCATGAATGCATTTGCTAAGGATATTTTCGGAATGTGACTGCATTACATTCAAATATTCGTTTATTACAAGTTTGTGATAAGGAAGTACATATACATATTGAGATTATTTTTAAAAAAAACGTGCCTCAAATATGATTTTGATCCTTTTTCTATTTTGACAAAATTAAATATTAGTTCAATTACAGTATTTATTTTCACTATTATATATATATATATAAAATCAGCATGTAAATCGTGGCACAAAAGATTGCCCTATACGGCAAGTACATTGCCATTACAGTTGCTCTGCTAATATAGCAGTACAAATATTATAAAAATATACATATATTTGTATTATATTAATATAATATATATTACTACATATTATATTAATATATATATGTATACAATATACATATATTTATTGCGCGCGCGCGTGTGTGTTGCATTTTCTATTTTGTGACAATTTTGTCTTTATTTTGTGGGTTTTAGATTAATATTCCGCAACATGCATAAGTCTCGTGCGGTAGCTTTGCGTCCAATCATGGTTTGTATGTCATATAATCTTAGCAGAATATCAGTTGTGAATAATTCAGGCAATGCTTTAAGAAGACAGGGTACCTGTGAAAACAAATATACAAACTTATCAATAATTTATCTTAAGTTAATTGTGGATTGGAAAGTATGGAAAAAAATATTTTTTCAGGAAAATTAAACTCATAAATTATTTCTCTAAATCTTCAATACTGAGAAGTGAAAATTAAATTACTACAAATATAAAAAAACGAACTAGTGTTTGCGACATTCCCTGCAGCACGATGCGAGTCCTGTCTTTCCCACACTGCACCATGAGCCGCAAGAATTGGAGTATGAAATGAGTCTGTTGAGACACCTCACCGTCTCTACCAGCCAAAAAGGCGAATATGGTAAACAGATTGTTCAATGCCGTCATAAGCGGATCCCTCAGAATGACTGACTTTTGCCCATTACTCGAACCCTGCGCCTGTGGACTCTGCGAACTGAACATGGGAACGTTCTCGCCCGTTTCATTGAGCCGGAGAAGTTTATTGGATACGCCAAGAGCATCCAGATCATCCGTGTCCAGATCGCGTCGCACACGCTTACGGCTGTTCCCTCGATACGGATTCGAGTTGTTGTACTCCAAAGTAGAGAATATGCAGTACACACATAATTTCGCCAAGATTGATGACTGTGGTTCCACAAGCTCGTCACTTCTACGTGAAATGGAATTTACGTGTAACAAACATCCTGTGTACAAAAATTGGATCAAGATGCAAGATAATAAGATGGACTTACTGCATTGAATTGTGTAAGTACTGCGGTATTATATGATTTATGAGATCTAAAGTACAGTTCTCTATGTCGAGATGGAAGATTGCGAAGGCCAGATCCACGGCTTGATCCAGTTCTTCCTGATAACGATACTTCAGTACTTCCTTGACTATATTCGTGACAAACCATGAAGAGCCGCCGGTGTTTAGCAGGGACTCCAACGATTGCGTGGCTTGTATGTTTATCCACCCACGTTGATTTATGTTTTGCCAAACGGATTCCAACTGTTCCAGTATTGGTTGACGCGATATAATACTGTAAAAATGCCATAAAAATAACAATCCCAAAAACGATGACAATTCGCTTTCAAAAAATACCATAATACCTGTGTGACATCGAGAGAACCTTTGTTTTCGACTGAGTGGGCGGGTGCACGTCGTATTGCATTTTCCGAATAATCTGGACCATTAAACTGGATCTGAAAGAAAAGGATAGAGAAATTTAAATTGTAACATACAAATATATAAATGTACAAGATTAAAATAGAATCAATTTTTATCTAAAGAAAAACTAAATTAACATTGTTATATAATTGATCATACACTTATTCCATTTTTTTACCTGTCTTTAAGATTATCCTGCATCTCATCACCCGAAAGCGGCGTCAGGAAGTGCTGGACCATATTCATAGGTTTCAGCAGAGCATCTTGGTGCGTGATGCTCATGTACGCGCACAGCCAAGCAGCGGCACAGACCGGCAGACAGCAGGCTGTTGCTCGCAAACCGTCCAGAGCTCTCTTCACATCGCCAGCACCCAGTACTCCGCTCTCCCACGCGCAGAGCAGCTCCTTCACCGCACCCATTGCCGACTGGCATGCAACATGCCATTTTAAGTTGCTCGATTTGAAATCGGGATCCGGCGAATTAATCTGCGCTAGTAGAGCGTCCACCCTTGCTGAATCGACGCTTTGCAACATCCTCTGTGGCGATTTCAGCTTGTTCCGTTCCGGCATACATTCGCGCACCCATTGCTCAAAGAATGAATCTCCGCCTTCTTCCAAAACAACCTAAAAACCAATTTTCTGTAACGAAATCGTACGCGAATGTAATCGACATACAAAAGACCCATTTTTTGTCGCTGCACTGTGGACTACATTAAAACTTATCTCTTTCGTTAAATTTTAAATATGTTTCATTTTAAGTAATTACAAGTGTATACTAATTCAACCACAAAGAACAGACCTAAAGTTACAAAATCTGTCTTTGTATGAAATTCGAAATACATATCAACGTCAAACTTACATCAGAGCCATATGTTTGCACTATGGAACACAACATAAGAAATGATACATCGAACAACATTGCTCTTGTCGCTGCCGTCTTATCAGGTACCGGCTCGTTAATCTGTTTACTACATTCATTAAACTTAATGAGTTTCGTGACAAAGGTCTTCAACTCTCCCTCTACAGTTGCCACGGCCAGCATCAGTTCGAAGCTTTTTCCAGTCAAGACTTGATATAATACACTCAGCAAGCCTTCCTGAATCTTAGCGTAATCTGCGTTCAGCGTCCTCAAAATCCCATTTAGTGTCTGTCCAGCGCGTACAATTACTTTTGGAATTGACGACGTCGTAGTCGCTCCCTCCCTGCAATGATAATCGTAAATAAAATTCAACTATCCAAGTTTTAAAAATAATTTATTTTTCAAATATATACCTCCTAGCGCCAATTTGCTTCGCTTGCTTCTCCGTCACGAGGTTTACCTTCTGCAATTCATTCAGCAAGCATTCTACGTAATTGCACGAGCACGTGGTATCCATTATGTCGAGCAGAGGTGTGAACTGAAGCAGTAACTCAAATGCATCCAGAATATCTTGCGAGTATTCAAACTTCTCATCACCTAAAAATAAAGATGCAAAGATGTAAAACCAAATTTTGTTTCCCCCGACAGTCAGAGAACTTCAAATGATTTTACTGACCATTCAAATTAGCTACATGCAACTCCTTCAATATGTGAGGCACCTTTAGAAATGTGAAGGCTCCCCACTGCGACTCCTTGAATGTTCCTGTTACATTGTGCAGGCACATCAAGCAAGCGCGGATAATCTCGCAATAAAGCCGCGCATTCGTATAACTCTTCAATCTCTGCACCATCAGCAGCTGGTTGACGAACACAGTTGTCTCAGTGCTAGGATTCAATAATACTTGAACGGCAAAGAGTGGCTGCAAACAGTGAGTAATGGACTCCATTTTAGTTTTCTCAGGGCAAAGACTTTCAATCTCCAGATTGCACAACTTTTTCAGAGAATCTTCCATTGGTACCACAGACTTTTGAGTACTCGTCTTCAGTAACGTCTCAATTTCCTGGCATTTCTTCACAACTTCTATGTATAGATCTAAAAACAGAGATGTATAAATAAATAAATAAATTATGCAAAACTTAGTAACTACATAAATCTATATAAAATAAACACAAATTGAATATAAATTTGTATTTACATTGTATTGCATAAAAAATTTAAAATATCAGCCTTAGTCACACCTTTGTCATCATATTTAGCCAGATACATCATTGCACATAAAAAGTCTGAATTCAGCATCTGTTGCAAAATACTAGCAGGTTTGTCTATGAGCTCGCTCGGATGCGGAGTGAGAGGATTGCTCTGGGGCGTCTTTGTTAAAGTATGTAGGTAACATTGCAGAAGCCAATGTACGATAGATAAGACTGCTGCTGCTAAAAGGTCCTCTTCTGGTTTACCGCGGCATGTGATACCAACTTGAATGGATTCCAAAAACTCCAGCAAACTCACAATGCAATGGGGTTTGTGAAACGCGTCATATTTACTTATTCGCTGTAACACTGCAGCGTATGATACCAGCTGCAAGATAATTTAAAGTGTAAATCTAATATACAATTTAGATATCTTCTGGAATATGGAATAAACAAACCTGAGAGCTTAACGAGTGCTTCAGATATGACAGTACTAGCTGATTAGGTCCTGGTCCTACTAATGCTTGTTGTAATATACAATCTGCTAAGTTATATACATCGCCGCTTACTCCTCTTGGCAGAATCTAAAGATTTGTTTCGAATTTATGAAATATTTAGAATTTAAAAAAAAACAAATGGAAGGCACATATATATCATCAAAGATATAATGCAGACATTTACCGTTTTAATATTAATGCCCCATTGCAAATCGGTCCAGCGCTCTCGCCAAGCTCGCAGCAAAAGAGCTTTTAAGCTGCTAGTTTTACTGGTCACTTTGGTCTCCATTGGTAACGTTAAAATATTATACAATTTCTGTCACATTGCAGAAACATTTGATAGCTTGCAATGAACAAAACATCCTGTTAAAAAATTTAATATCAACTGAAAATAGAGGAAATTTTTTAATTAAATTTCTGAAAGTAGACATTAAAGACGATTATCTTCAATGAATATGTAGCGTTTTATAAAAAATGTTTAGTACCTAAACTATGGCTGTGTTCAGCGGACTCACAGTTGAGTGAGCGCTTGCTGTAATTGGTGTATTCTTTTAGATCATCCAATCAGCATTTTAGATCTGGAAGAATACATCAATAGCAGCGAGCGTTCACTCAACTATTGAGTCCGCTGAACGCAGCCTATAGGTTTGTTCACGTCGCAAGATCCAACATGCTCCAACATGCTCCTACTCACTTTATCAAGCGCGTTAAAGTGAGTAAGAGCTATAGTAGGAGCATATTGAGACATGTTGGAGCATGCGACGTGAACAAACCTTATGTTGCTATTGACATTATGTAACTTAACCTTACATTACTGATGTGATTCTCTTTAAAGTAATTACTTACGTGGGGTGTTCCAACATCTCAGCATTATATCTCAATTTTCATTGTCCTCTTTGATATACAATTAAATAAAAATTGACAATATTCTATACATCCTTTAGATAAAGATAGATGCAAAAACATTTTTCTAAATTGCAAAACAAATGTACGTATAAATAGCACTCATATATTTAACGAATTTATAAGATTAGAATATCCTGAACACCCCACGTGGATAATCAAGAGTTAATTGTTATTCTAACCTTTACGGATTATCTTTCCGGCATTCGTGAAAGAATATATAACAATTTTATCATAAATTTACTGACGAACGAATAAGAATCGCTACTGCAAACTTATCACCTTTCTTATTCACTTTCAAATATAATATATCGTAGTAAATATTTAATTAAACTCCTTGCTAATCTAGATCAGGGAACCCGGCAAGTTCCAGTCGCTTCAAGTAATGTTGTTCTATCAGGTTACTGAAAAATCTTCTGCGCATGTACGAAAATCCTTCAGGTTTTGATAAAACCTTCCACCAATAACCACAAAGGAAATACAGTTCATATGGTACTGATCTCAGGCACATCTAGAGGTCGATTGTGTATTTCAAAACGACAAAAAGGTGAAAATTACGAAAACAACCAAATTTATTAGCATATTTATAATTTCATTGCTCAACATCTAGTGAATTCACTCACTTTTCTATTTTTCACCTTGTTTAAGATTTTTTTGTGAAGTTATTCACGCTTGTA